TTTTTTTCGCACTATTCCAATTCGTTGGTCGAAGGAGAGTGTAGATTTTTGCTTCCGGTTCGTTGGTCGAAGGAAGCTCCCTTCCGGTTCGTTCGTCGAAGGAAGGTTTTATCTTTCTATTTTATTCACTCCATTGTAAATCTGTGAAACTAATTTTTAGTGAAAAACATAATAACTTTTTATAGTGATTAACAACTGGACGTAGATTCTTTTGAATCGAACCAGGATAAAAATTTTGTGTTGAATTTTTATACTCCCTACCCTCTTTACATTTTATGCTCATCAACTGTTTGATAAATTTTCTCTAAGAAAATTGATTCTCTAAAACAGACCATCTTAATATGAATTTGACTGAACACGCTTTCCGCTATCTATATTTCATTCCGCTGCGCGACTCTATAACGGTACCGATTGTTCCGACAAACATCGCATCCTCAAATTAGAATGTTTAGGTACTCATCCTCTTCAAACCGAATGAGATTATGTTATGGGAAGACATCTTGATGCTCAAGTTAGTCAAATGCGTTAGATATTAGTAGATACGATAATTAATAAACGTAATTAATGAACTTTGTAGAATGTATTATTTATATTATTGTTTGTGGGCATTTATCTGGATGGGCATGGATCACGTGGTATAATTGTTTGTTAATCTTGCTTTGACCATTTTCTTCTTAACTTACTTATAATTTATAATATCAGTAGTCTCATCAGTATGGTTCCTTCCTGGCCAAATAGATGTCAGCTCAGATGGTCGAATGTACTTGGAGGGGGTAGTAGATTTATTACCATGGCATCCATATATACTCTACACTTTTTCCAATTAGATAGCGAAAAATCTATCCATGACTCACTGATAGGTTGCTCTAGCATTCTTGAGGCCAAAGGGCATGATCTTGTAATAATAGTTGGCCCTTTATATGATGAAAGTGGTATATAATGTATCTGCTTAAGTCGTGGGGATTTGATTATATCTCTAATATGCATCCAAAATAAATTAGCATATTGTGATTAGTAGCTCCATCTAATAGTCGGCCTATGCTAGGTAAGGGATAAGCATCCTTTGGACAGGTTTTGTTAAGATCCATATTATGAGGCCAACTTGCAAGCGCTTTTTGGTTTCGGCCTTCGTGGCAAGCCTCCTTCCTTCTCCCAACTTCCTTTTCTTTTACGATATTAGTGTAGCCTCTTTAAATATGGATAACATGTAGGGATGGCAAAAATTTCAATGTTTGTGGGTATCCATAGATAAAATTTGTGATAGATAATTGGTACCTACGGGTAGGTACCCATGGATAGCGAGTATTTCAAGACCCAGTTAGAAATAGGTTGAGTGTGAGTATTATACTACCCGTACCAGCAGGCATTCATTACGTGCAAAAAATAAAAATAAAAATTTAATATATATTTCATTATGTTAAATTTAATTAAGTTTAAAATTAATTTATATTTTATCAAGTTAAATTTAATTAAAATTAAATTTTAATTTATATTATATTATATTGTTTTTTGTAATTTTATTTTAAAAATTTATAATTTTTTTTTTAAATATCCGCAAGTATCCACGAGTATCCTGAGTTTCAAAATAGTCGCGAATATTTTTTAAATGGGTATCCGCACAGGTAGCGAGCGATAACGAGTGGATTTTTTTCTTGCGGGTCGAGTAGCATGTAGGCATTATTCATGTCTGACCCGACCCGTTGTCATCCCTACATGTGAGAAGTTTTGTAGAAAAAGCATCTTATAACAAGAAGTTATTCTTGGGTCGACTCTTAGAAGGTCAGTTGTTGTCCATGCAAATAAATGGACATTATCAGTAAAGACTTGCCCTTAGAACTTGGTTTCCCCATTAGTTCCATCTTGGCATCGTTGTCTAGCCTAAGGTCGAGGTCTTCTCCATCTATGGTTATGATGACTACACTTGCTCTCTCAACAATCTTAGTATTAAGTTGTGGGAATGTAGCACTCTCATATTGTTTTTTGGTCTTCGTGGATCGTGATTATAACACCTAACAATGAAGAGAATTTCATGGCCAAGTGGGGAGTGGACACAATTGCCCCAAACAAGTTGAGCGATGGTCATCCCAATAGGATGTTGTAAGACGTATTTGCGTCTACTACCAGATACTAGATAGATATGGTCTTTGTTAGCTCTCTCTCCCCAAAGGTGGTGTGTAGGTCGATATATCTGCTGGTACTAACCCTTTCTCTAAAGAATCTAAATATGGGCTCGTCATATGAGGTCATAGCCTCCTCTAGTAGCTACTTTTTATATGTCTTCCAATATAGTATATCTACTGAACTACCTTGATCTATCAAAGTCTTCTTAATAACGAAGTTTTCAATCTCCATTATGATGACCATGGGGTCATCTTGTTCAAGGTCTGCACCTTGGAAGTTGGCGTCCTTGAAGAAATAAGAGACATCCTCTTTCTCCTAAATGTTCTAGATATGATGTTGACGGACTAATTAATGTACCTCGTAGAATGTGTTATGCATAATATTGTTTATGGACCCTTACCTTGATCGGTCTAGGCCACGTGGCTTAATTACCTGTTAATTTTTCTTTAACCCTTCTTCTTAACTTAGTCATAATTTATCAATATTAGTAGTTTGGATGGTATGCTCCTTCTAGGCTGAAGTCGTACTTGGACAAATACAATAACCATACTGAAAGGTTGAGGTGTGTTCGGTCATGTACAATACAAATAGGATTAGGACATTTAAAATTTGTCTAAAATTGCGCTAATTAGTATTTAAAACCTTAACTTTAAATCTTACTTGAAACAAAACATGTATAAAGTTATGTTCTTTATTAATGTAAGACAACATTGTTTATCTGTAATGGTATTTAAACCTAAGTTGATGGATTGGGTCCAATCGATGGACTCATCACAAGGAGCATGGCTAGGAAGATCCAAAAAGGCTGGGAAGACAAAAGATACAAGGATCCATCATCTCTTTTGTTGGAAAGCATGAAGCTCATTCGACGCTATCCACCTCGCCTAGTGCATGTGGTTAGCACCAAGCATTGCTCGAAGATCTGGAAGATCCCTTGATGCATTTAACACGTTTCTTTTGCAAGTTTCCCCTTTTTTGCACACGTAGCACGTCATGTGGCATCTGATCGTGTATCAAGGCTAATCATCAACCTAGTAGTTGTCATAAAGCATCGGGATCACTATAAAACCATGTTCATAACTTGTAATAGAGACTTTTGATTAATGAATTGTATTTATGTTGAAAATACTCCAAAGCCAATTCCATTTTTGAGAGTCAGGGCTCGAGAGTCTGAAAGGATCTCCTATAGCCATCTTCCAATCATCGAGAGCCACCCTCCATTATCCATACTTACCTTGCTGCACATCCACCAATACACATCATTCGCCATCTCAAATATTAGAATTTAATTTCTTGGTATTAGATTGGTTCAATGGTCTATTTAAGCAATCCTTATATTAGTCAACCCTTAAAAATGATATAATTGGAATAAAAACATATTCATATAATAACCAATTTAATAACATCATACTTCAAATTTTAGATTTTTACCAATACACAAAACAATCACAAAGTTTCAATTACATTTCATTAAAGCAAAATACACATACTAGTTATTAGCCAATTGAACGTCAACATAATATATTACAATTCATCTAATACTATTTAATTCACTCAATTGCACATATCATATGTAGATTAGAACTTGAATAAAATAAAAATAATAAGCTTCCCTTACTTTGAGTAAAAACCATTGACTCAAATGTTGTTTCTAAAGCTCTAATTCTCATAAGATACTCTAACTACATAAAGAACCCCAGTTAAAGATCAAAACACATCCTCATGATCACAAACAAACAAAAATTTACGTCGAATTATTTTGAATCACATGGATACACTATAGAGCTACACACAATAACAAAATAGACACTAACTAAAAAAATGAGCAAAAGTGAATTTACTCTATTTAGAATTTTTATTTGTTGGATGCGTAGATCTCAGTGTAAAGATCCCTCCTAAGTTCTTTAATATTCAAATAAATAAAAAATGAGGTCAAAGATATAGAAAAAAGACAAATAGAAATTTTTAGAAAAAAATACTAAAGAGATGATAAATTTTTATAAAATGAAATTCAATTAATAAAAATTCCATTTATATAGTATAACTTTTTAAATAATAAAATAATTGAGTATCATCTTTTAAAAATCACTATTAATCTTTACTATTTTCTTAGTCTTTACCGTTTACAAATATATAAGAAAAATAAATGTAATTTACTAAAATCATAAAGAAAATAAATGTCTATTTAAAAAGTAATAAAATGCGATTATAATTTTATTGAAAACATAAAAGAAATACATATATAATTTAAAATTATAAGAAAAATATAATTCTCATTTAGCATGATGACCTAACATAGTAAATCCTTTTTCTTTCCTATAATATGGTTGTTGTTAACCATATAATTGAAGAGAAGGTTTAAAAAACACTGAAGGGAAACCATCTTCAAAATATTTTTAATGACTTTTTAGTTTATTATATTTATAATGAAAAAATTATTACTATAGTATATAAATTAATTTTTGGAAAAAAAATGAAGAAATTCAATTGCCCTAATTTGGACATTCAAGACTGGTGTAAATGACTATAATTTGCAAACTCAAAGGTGTAGTTGGTGTGTCATTTAGGAAGAGAAGGATCTGTTTGTAATTTTCATTATTAATTGCTGGCCTTGATGAAAATGATTGACCTAAGCTATTGCAATTTAATGCAAGTCACTATTAATATTTTTATCATATTAGTTTTTTTTGCCCTATATATTTTACACAAAAGAACTGTTTGTTATATATACCATCGGTATATATTTTACACAAAAGAACTGTTTGTTATATATACCATCGGAGAAAGTTTAATATCAAATATGCGGCTACTTTTATTATTTGGTTTAATACCTATTTTGGTTCCTCGGTTTGTAGAGTGTGTTCAAAGTTGTCCTTTTTTTTNCATATTCAAGAGCTGTGGCCCACTTTCCCACAGCAGTTAAGGAGGTAAATGATACAGTTAGTGCAATAAATATCTGATTCAGAAGATAACGTTGATATATAAATTATTATGTTGGTTATACTTGCAGTTCAAATGGAGGAATGGTTGGTTTTATTCTCTCTTTGAGAAGGCCACTGCCCAAGGCAACCCAGACCCATGCCCTTTGCATTCCCAATGGCTAAAAGAGTTGAGAATTGTTTGAATTTAACTTCAACTCTAGTGTCTTGTGTGTGCTTTGTGGTGTCAAGAAATATTTGATACCTTTGCTTATTGATGTTCGTTTTATAAATAATCATCGAGCATCTACTGATAATTACTACCATAATTACTTATCATATACAATTTGTCTCACTTGTTCTTACATGAACATATCAATGTAATTAAGAAAATAAAATATCTTCTTATTCACATGTCTGTGGGTCATCTGTTCAAGAGTTATTTATAGTTTGCTCACTTCACTATTAAGGGTGTTCTGGAAAAAATAAAAATTCCATAAGCATTTTTGTAAGAAGAAAAAAATAAATTATTTTTTCATATAAGTTAAAAATTTAGATTTGGAAAAGCTAATATTAACTCTGGAAGCTCTAGATTTGACCAACAATTCAGAATCATTATTATCCAAATGCTCTCATCTGTTCTATATAATTGGTTATTGTTTCTTTCAAACATGTCCTAGGCATACACAAGATGTGACCCTAAGTTATCAACTATTTTGTTGGTTAATGCTTCGGAATTCATAAGTTAAGATTATAACTAGAGCTATAAAAACTTGGGTAATCCGACTCAATTCAGTTCAGTCTATCATAGGTTAGTCAACCCAACAACGAACTGAAAAAATTTGAATCTAACCCGATCCATCACAGATTGGTAGTTTAAACGGATTGGTTCAATAGTTCCCTTAATTATAAGTCTTTTTTAAAATAAAAAAATATATAATTTTTTTTATTTAATTCTAAATAAATTTCACTCTAATGATGTTTAAACTCCAAAGACAATTCAAAATAAATAAAAAACAAATATTATACAATCCAAGCCTAATTAAAAAACAAGCATAAAAAGCGAATAAATAAGTTTTTAATATTGATAGAAAAAATAATATTAGAGTCTTGAATAATATTAGAATCTATTATAATATTGGAGTCTTGAATAGATTAATTATAATATTTTTCTCTCTTGAAACATCTTTTCTTTATCCCATCTACAATATAATAAAAAAATGCTAACTAATAATATTGAAACACAAAATAATAAGATTGGAACTGAGATTGGTGAGACAACATTTCGCCAAATGGGATTTGTTTCTCGTGGTCGCGTGATCATTCACAAGGATGATGATCACCAAGATGATGACAATGATGATATGGACGCCATATGGCTGACCCAGTCCAAGTTGTTGATCCTACTGATGCTGGTCCTTCTCAAATGCCTTCCTCTTCCTCACTAACTATGGAGGAGCATTTTGCAAACCTATCTAAACAAATGGAGGATAAGCGTCTTGCTCAACAAGCTCACTTTGAACCGATATATGAGTGGCAACAAAATCATGAAGAATATGTGATCGACCAGTTCAATGACCTTAATACTCGTCTTGGAAACATTGAAAATCACTTTAATCTTCAACCTCCAGACAGACCACCCAGTCCTGAGTTTTAGATTTAGGATTTTATGTTAGTATGTTTTGATGATTGTTTGTTTTGACTCTATGTTTTATGTTCTTCTTTATGAAAAATGTTACCTTTCTTTTCATGAATAAAATGATCTCTTATTTTAGTGCATACATTGTTTAATTGAGGGGGAGCTCATATTAAGGGGGAGCTCATATTAAGGGGGAGCATTTTTTTTTCATTCATCTTTTTGCTTATGATCAAAAGGGGGGAGAAGTAGTGCAGTTACTGCTAACTTTCTTGTTGTCTATCAGCTTGTATTTTTTGCAGACTAACCAAAGTTGCTTTTAAACAAGTATTTTTTTATCATCATCAAAAAGGGGGAAATTGTTACCAATGAGGAGCATTGGTAAATTTGAAGATAAATGATTTTGATGATGCTGCAAGAAGATAGACTTGAAGAAGTTGTTAAAATTATTTTAAAAGCACTTTGTAGAATATAAATGTATTAGGAAAGTCTTTGAATATGTAATACTTAGAAAATCTCGTATCTTTAGTTAAGTTACGCATTTAATCGATTATATGAAGCTATAATCGATTATCATGACCACTCTTGAAAAAGCATTTCGCTCTGGAATAATCAATTATTCCTTAAAATAATCGATTATCAACTGGTCCTGATGAGAACTGCACAAGTCTCTGGAATAATCGATTGTTCCTCAGGATAATCGATTATCACTTTCTGAAAACCCTGTAACGGACTTAAATAATCGATTATCACTAACAATAATCGATTATCAGTGGCAGTTGTAATTTGTCTTTTCTAACTCATACCAATTGCCTATATATAGTTGTTCCAAAACCCTTAGTGGGTTAACTTTGAGCTTTTGAGAATATAGTTTGTCTGAGGAAGTTATAAAAAGCTAGTTCAAGTGCTTTGCCTGGTCTCGTGAATAGGAGAAGCTCGCGCTTTGTGGGTCAAAGGTCGGAGCGGTTCTCTTCGAGTTGGCAAGGCTATCATCTTCCGGTTCGTGTGTCGAAGGAAGACTTTTTTTCGCACTATTCCAATTCGTTGGTCGAAGGAGAGTGTAGATTTTTGCTTCCGGTTCGTTGGTCGAAGGAAGCTCCCTTCCGGTTCGTTCGTCGAAGGAAGGTTTTATCTTTCTATTTTATTCACTCCATTGTAAATCTGTGAAACTAATTTTTAGTGAAAAACATAATAACTTTTTATAGTGATTAACAACTGGACGTAGATTCTTTTGAATCGAACCAGGATAAAAATTTTGTGTTGAATTTTTATACTCCCTACCCTCTTTACATTTTATGCTCATCAACTGTTTGATAAATTTTCTCTAAGAAAATTGATTCTCTAAAACAGACCATCTTAATATGAATTTGACTGAACACGCTTTCCGCTATCTATATTTCATTCCGCTGCGCGACTCTATAACGGTACCGATTGTTCCGACAAACATCGCATCCTCAAATTAGAATGTTTAGGTACTCATCCTCTTCAAACCGAATGAGATTATGTTATGGGAAGACATCTTGATGCTCAAGTTAGTCAAATGCGTTAGATATTAGTAGATACGATAATTAATAAACGTAATTAATGAACTTTGTAGAATGTATTATTTATATTATTGTTTGTGGGCATTTATCTGGATGGGCATGGATCACGTGGTATAATTGTTTGTTAATCTTGCTTTGACCATTTTCTTCTTAACTTACTTATAATTTATAATATCAGTAGTCTCATCAGTATGGTTCCTTCCTGGCCGAATAGATGTCAGCTCAGATGGTCGAATGTACTTGGAGGGGGTAGTAGATTTATTACCATGGCATCCATATATACTCTACACTTTTTCCAATTAGATAGCGAAAAATCTATCCATGACTCACTGATAGGTTGCTCTAGCATTCTTGAGGCCAAAGGGCATGATCTTGTAATAATAGTTGGCCCTTTATATGATGAAAGTGGTATCTAATGTATCTGCTTAAGTCGTGGGGATTTGATTATATCTCTAATATGCATCCAAAATAAATTAGCATATTGTGATTAGTAGCTCCATCTAATAGTCGGCCTATGCTAGGTAAGGGATAAGCATCCTTTGGACAGGTTTTGTTAAGATCCATATTATGAGGCCAACTTGCAAGCGCTTTTTGGTTTCGGCCTTCGTGGCAAGCCTCCTTCCTTCTCCCAACTTCCTTTTCTTTTACGATATTAGTGTAGCCTCTTTAAATATGGATAACATGTAGGGATGGCAAAAATTTCAATGTTTGTGGGTATCCATGGATAAAATTTGTGATAGATAATTGGTACCTACGGGTAGGTACCCATGGATAGCGAGTATTTCAAGACCCAGTTAGAAATAGGTTGAGTGTGAGTATTATACTACCCGTACCAGCAGGCATTCATTACGTGCAAAAAATAAAAATAAAAATTTAATATATATTTCATTATGTTAAATTTAATTAAGTTTAAAATTAATTTATATTTTATCAAGTTAAATTTAATTAAAATTAAATTTTAATTTATATTATATTATATTGTTTTTTGTAATTTTATTTTAAAAATTTATAATTTTTTTTTTAAATATCCGCAAGTATCCACGAGTATCCTGAGTTTCAAAATAGTCGCGAATATTTTTTAAATGGGTATCCGCACAGGTAGCGAGCGATAACGAGTGGATTTTTTTCTTGCGGGTCGAGTAGCATGTAGGCATTATTCATGTCTGACCCGACCCGTTGTCATCCCTACATGTGAGAAGTTTTGTAGAAAAGCATCTTATAACAAGAAGTTATTCTTGGGTCTCTTAGAAGGTCAGTTGTTGTCCATGCAAATAAATGGACATTATCAGTAAAGACTTGCCCTTAGAACTTGGTTTCCCCATTAGTTCCATCTTGGCATCGTTGTCTAGCCTAAGGTCGAGGTCTTCTCCATCTATGGTTATGATGACTACACTTGCTCTCTCAACAATCTTAGTATTAAGTTGTGGGAATGTAGCACTCTCATGTTGTTTTTTGGTCTTCGTGGATCGTGATTATAACACCTAACAATGAAGAGAATTTCATGGCCAAGTGGGGAGTGGACACAATTGCCCCAAACAAGTTGAGCGATGGTCATCCCAATAGGATGTTGTAAGACGTATTTGCGTCTACTACCAGATACTAGATAGATATGGTCTTTGTTAGCTCTCTCTCCCCAAAGGTGGTGTGTAGGTCGATATATCTGCTGGTACTAACCCTTTCTCTAAAGAATCTAAATATGGGCTCGTCATATGAGGTCATAGCCTCCTCTAGTAGCTACTTTTTATATGTCTTCCAATATAGTATATCTACTGAACTACCTTGATCTATCAAAGTCTTCTTAATAACGAAGTTTTCAATCTCCATTATGATGACCATGGGGTCATCTTGTTCAAGGTCTGCACCTTGGAAGTTGGCGTCCTTGAAGAAATAAGAGACATCCTCTTTCTCCTAAATGTTCTAGATATGATGTTGACGGACTAATTAATGTACCTCGTAGAATGTGTTATGCATAATATTGTTTATGGACCCTTACCTTGATCGGTCTAGGCCACGTGGCTTAATTACCTGTTAATTTTTCTTTAACCCTTCTTCTTAACTTAGTCATAATTTATCAATATTAGTAGTTTGGATGGTATGCTCCTTCTAGGCTGAAGTCGTACTTGGACAAATACAATAACCATACTGAAAGGTTGAGGTGTGTTCGGTCATGTACAATACAAATAGG